CCATGCATAGTAAGGTAATATCCACGTTGCTTCACATCACCATGCATAGTAAGGTAATATCCACGTTGCTTCACATCACCATGCATAGTAAGGTAATATCCACGTTGCTTCACATCACCATGCATAATAAGGTAATATCCACGTTGTACATCACCATGCATAGTAAGGTAATCCACGTTGCACGTTGCTTCACATCACCATGCATAGTAAGGTAATATCCACGGTTCACATCACCATGCATTCACATCACCATGCATAGTAAGGTAATATCCACGTTGCTTCACATCACCATGCATAGTAAGGTAATATCCACGTTGCTTCACATCACCATGCATAGTAAGGTAATATCCACGTTGCTTCACATCACCATGCATAGTAAGGTAATATCCACGTTGCTTCACATCACCATGCATAGTAAGGTAATATCCACGTTGCTTCACATCACCATGCATAGTAAGGTAATATCCACGTTGCTTCACATCACCATGCATAGTAAGGTAATATCCACGTTGCTTCACATCACCATGCATAGTAAGGTAATATCCACGTTGCTTCACATCACCATGCATAGTAAGGTAATATCCACGTTGCTTCACATCACCATGCATAGTAAGGTAATATCCACGTTGCTTCACATCACCATGCATAGTAAGGTAATATCCACGTTGCTTCACATCACCATGCATAGTAAGGTAATATCCACGTTGCTTCACATCACCATGCATAGTAAGGTAATATCCACGTTGCTTCACATCACCATGCATAGTAAGGTAATATCCACGTTGCTTCACATCACCATGCATAGTAAGGTAATATCCACGTTGCTTCACATCACCATGCATAGTAAGGTAATATCCACGTTGCTTCACATCACCATGCATAGTAAGGTAATATCCACGTTGCTTCACATCACCATGCATAATAAGGTAATATCCACGTTGCTTCACATCACCGTGCATAGTAAGGTAATATCCACGTTGCTTCACATCACCATGCATAGTAAGGTAATATCCACGTTGCTTCACATCACCATGCATAGTAAGGTAATATCCACGTTGCTTCACATCACCATGCATACATCACCATGCATAAGGTAATATCCACGTTGCTTCACATCACCATGCATAGTAAGGTAATATCCACGTTGCTTCACATCACCATGCATAGTAAGGTAATATCCACGTTGCTTCACATCACCATGCATAGTAAGGTAATATCCACGTTGCTTCACATCACCATGCATAGTAAGGTAATATCCACGTTGCTTCACATCACCATGCATAGTAAGGTAATATCCACGTTGCTTCACATCACCATGCATAGTAAGGTAATATCCACGTTGCTTCACATCACCATGCATAGTAAGGTAATATCCACGTTGCTTCACATCACCATGCATAGTAAGGTAATATCCACGTTGCTTCACATCACCATGCATAGTAAGGTAATATCCACGTTGCTTCACATCACCATGCATACATAAGGTAATATCCACGTTGCTTCACATCACCATGCATAATAAGGTAATATCCACGTTGCTTCACATCACCATGCATAGTAAGGTAATATCCACGTTGCTTCACATCACCATGCATAGTAAGGTAATATCCACGTTGCTTCACATCACCATGCATAATAAGGTAATATCCACGTTGCTTCACATCACCATGCATAATAAGGTAATATCCACGTTGCTTCACATCACCATGCATAATAAGGTAATATCCACGTTGCTTCACATCACCATGCATAGTAAGGTAATATCCACGTTGCTTCACATCACCATGCATAGTAAGGTAATATCCACGTTGCTTCACATCACCATGCATAATAAGGTAATATCCACGTTGCTTCACATCACCATGCATAATAAGGTAATATCCACGTTGCTTCACATCACCATGCATAGTAAGGTAATATCCACGTTGCTTCACATCACCATGCATAATAAGGTAATATCCACGTTGCTTCACATCACCATGCATAATAAGGTAATATCCACGTTGCTTCACATCACCATGCATAATAAGGTATCCACGTTGCTTCACATCACCATGCATAATAAGGCTTGCTTCACATCACCATGCATAATAAGGTAATATCCACGTTGCTTCACATCACCATGCATATTAAGGTAATATCCACGTTGCTTCACATCACCATGCATAATAAGGTAATATCCACGTTGCTTCACATCACCATGCATAATAAGGTAATATCCACGTTGCTTCACATCACCATGCATAATAAGGTAATATCCACGTTGCTTCACATCACCATGCATAGTAAGGTAATATCCACGTTGCTCACATCACCATGCATAGTAAGGTAATATCCACGTTGCTTCACATTACCATGCATAGTAAGGTAATATCCACGTTGCTCACATCACCATGCATAGTAAGGTAATATCCACGTTGCTTCACATCACCATGCATAATAAAGTAATATCCACGTTGCTTCACATCACCATGCATAGTAAGGTAATATCCACGTTGCTCCACATCACCATGCATGGTAAGGTAATATCCACGTTGCTTCACATCACCATGCATAATAAGGTAATATCCACGTTGCTTCACATCACCATGCATAATAAGGTAATATCCACGTTGCTCACATCACCGTGCATAGTAAGGCAATATCCACGTTGCTCCACATCACCGTGCATAGTAAGGTAATATCCACGTTGCTCACATCACCGTGCATAGTAAGGTAATATCCACGTTGCTTCACATCACCATGCATAATAAGGTAATATCCACGTTGCTCACATCACCATGCATAGTAAGGTAATATCCACGTTGCTTCACATCACCATGCATAATAAGGTAATATCCACGTTGCTTCACATCACCATGCATAATAAGGTAATATCCACGTTGCTTCACATCACCATGCATAGTAAGGTAATATCCACGTTGCTTCACATCACCATGCATAATAAGGTAATATCCACGTTGCTTCACATCACCATGCATAATAAGGTAATATCCACGTTGCTTCACATCACCGTGCATAGTAAGGTAATATCCACGTTGCTTCACATCACCATGCATAATAAGGTAATATCCACGTTGCTTCACATCACCGTGCATAATAAGGCAATATCCACGTTGCTTCACATCACCATGCATAATAAGGCAATATCCACGTTGCTTCACATCACCATGCATAATAAGGCAATATCCACGTTGCTTCACATCACCATGCATAATAAGGTAATATCCACGTTGCTCACATCACCATGCATAGTAAGGTAACATCCATGTTGCTTCACATCACCATGCATAGTAAGGTAATATCCACGTTGCTTCACATTACCATGCATAGTAAGGTAATATCCACGTTGCTCACATCACCATGCATAGTAAGGTAACATCCATGTTGCTTCACATCATCATGCATAGTAAGGCAATATCCACATGGCAATAACACTAAAAACAACTTCCATTTGTATGCCTCTTGTGTTACACAATAAATATTAATCTCGTATCGCTGTCAAGTTAATGGCTAGATGACCACACAGACCAATCTTGCCCTTGGCTAAGGGTGACGTCAACAAGCTAGGCAAGGAGTTGCAGTCAACGAAAGAGTTTATTTATAACCAACTAAATATTATAATGTATATTTTTATTTTAATAAATTATCTGTATTATATTCTCTTTTCGCCGTTTACGCGCGTAATATGTATTAAGATTAATTTTATTGTATTTATATATAATGAAAGAAATTTACTAAATCCTATTTACTAAGGTTATATTACAGTACTTTTAAAATTGTCCTTGATGCCACTTTATAATAAAATGCGTGTTTGAGAAAATTGACAAAAATACTGGTATTTCCGGCAGAGTCTCTCCGCCCTCGAGAAAGTAAATACGATGAGAACTTATAGAAGTTCTCAAGGTCACATCAGTCACCTTCCATTCTTCTTCAAGTATGTATTATTACTCTACATTGCCTTCTATGTTTATATCGCCCGTCATACAGCTGTGAGGTACTGTATTATTTCCTCCCTCGAGGCCGGATGGCAAGGCGATGGTCGTTAAGTTGACTTTGACCCGTGATTGTATTAATTCATAATCTACGATACATATTGGAAAGGTTCGATTACAAGTACTGAGCCTAGGTGAGAATAGGTCCATGTATTTTCCTTTCTTAACAGCAATAAGCTTTGATCTTTTGTATTTTCCAGTGGCCTTAACTTGGTAGATTTGACTGATAATAACTTCGAGGATTTTAACTATTGATTTTATTCAGTATTAAGATAGTCATCAAATTTGAGTGATCTTAGATCTTAGAGTAACTTTCCAGAGTACACATTACACACCACAACTTATGATACTTTCAAATGGACAATATTAATTACAAATCAGAATGGGACAGCAGTTATGGTCCAACGTGTGTGTGGCCACTTGTGGCTTGTGGTTTTGACAACTCCTATTTTAGTATTTTAGTCCTACTTTTGGTCTCTAGCACCATAAACTCACCACTATGACCACTTCAGGAATTTTGATCCATTTTATTCAACGTTTGTCATGTACTTACAAAAACATTAGACGTTTAAACACTTAACCTTTTAAGTTTCATCGATTTAAAGTCAAATTTCCATAAAAAAATAAAAGATTATTCAGAAAGTTTTAAGGTAATTTAAGGAGTTAAAATTGGACGAACAAGGAAAATAAAAATATATGTAAGTTTCAACGAAAGATACGAGTATCTTTTCTTCAGTTATAATTGTAGTTCAGATATTATATATTCATTATTTATACGAAATATACATAGTAAATTTTATGTTTACATCAAATGATTAATATATTTTATGAATTGAAACCTAAAAATTAATACGTAAAGATCTGAAAGAGGGCGTTATTTCAGACCGTCCATATCGTGAAGACCATATGATGGGCGTTTCTCCCTCAGTTTAGCCCTGAGTGCTCTCCAAGGGCGACAGTAACTCACTTCTGGACTATAAAAGGCCTCGACGGGTTCTGGGAGGCAGATTATATCTCCTCTCCCCTAACATGGTAGGTTCCTCCCCTGATCCTCTACACCGCTCCTCATATGGTGGTGGTGTTGTGCTCTGCGATCACCTGCTTATATCGCCATGAAGTGATGTAGAATTTGTGTTTCTCCAGCATTTAGCTCAGGTAGACATTGACAGTTCCCTAAATATATATTGGGAAGAAACATTTGAAAAAACTCGATTTCCAAAGGTTTTCTGATCAACGTGTTAGATTCATTTTCGTAATTATCAATATTCCAGTTGTTCAGTACAACTCTATGTAAAAAGATTAATGAACGCATCTACAGGTTGATTAACCATAGAATTATATTTTCATATTGTGAAAATGCTGTGTTAGGCATTGAATATGCAAAGTAGAAAATTCTCATTATTCTCTTTTGCAGAAATTGCTGGTTACTGTGGTCGTGGCTGTGGTGGTGGCTCGGGGTAGCGCTGTAGTCAGCTCCTCGTCCCACATCACCTTTGGAGGCTCATCTCATGGCTCTTTAGGGGCTACATCTCATGGCTCCGGCTTTACTCGACCTCATGAATCGTTTTCTGCACCTCATAGCTTCTCAAAACCTGTCCAGCATGGTTCCGCTTTCTCCAGACCTCATGGTTCTCTGAGTGGCTTTGATCATGGCTCATCCCAGTTGTCTCATGGTAGCTATACACCACCTCGGCCAACCTATGGTGCTCCTGTTGACACCTACTCTCCTCCCAAGCCAACCTATGGTGCACCTGTTCACACCTACTCTCCTCCCAAGCCAACCTATGGTGCACCTGTTCACACCTACTCTCCTCCCAAGCCAACCTATGGTGCTCCTATTGACACCTACTCACCACCTCAAGACATCTACAGTGTCCCTACAAATACTTATGGAGAGCCATATGACACCTACTCGCCTGCACAGGACATCTACACAGTGCCAACTAATGCTTATGGTTTGCCTCTTGACACCTACACACCACCAAGTTATGGCGGCTATCACTAAGGCGAAGACACATCAAGAGGTTTCAGAAGCCTGAGACTATTTGCTTCTTCACGAGATTGCAAAGGGGCTTCCATCCCCAAGAAACGGTGGATCTTCTATCGACTGTGGCACCTCGTAGTCTCCCATGGCACCCCTTTCTCGACTATGGCACCCCGTGGTCGAGAATGACGCTCTTGCCTGTGACTGATTCCTGAACATCACTCAACATGTAAAATAAGAATGTGTCCCCAAGGTTGCTACACTTCTAAATATATTTGTATTTTTTGTACTTATATGAAAAAATTACAATAAGTAGAATGCAATCTCTTCGTCTTTTTTTATCACTAATTTTATATCGTGAAAATAACTTAAACAAGAATTAAAAACTGTTTCACTAATTTATATGAATGTGTATGTTTTAAATTATTTTGCAAACTTCTTCGTGACTCGCTATATTGTTTCGTGAAGAGGTTTGCTCTGGTCTGTCTACAAAGTTCTCAAAATCTTCAAACGTGTAGTCATTTCTCTCTGTGTCAGCCACTATTAACTGAGACTGCATGGTCCACACAGCCCACACAGTTTCAATGTACTCTACTAAGTATGTTCTGAGTCCCCCTTCTGACCAATGTAAGTGTATAAGGAGTCATTTAGAACCTCGTATAGCATATATGTCAGACCAATCTTGGAGTATACGACTGCAACGTGGAGTCTATATCTCGTCAATCACAAGTCAAAGTCAGAGAAGGTTCAAAGGTATGCCACCGAGTTAGTTCCAGAACCTATGAGGAATGAGTTACCAGGAAAAAGCTACGTGAATTAAGCCTAATGTCGCTAGGAGACAGAAGAGTTAGGGGAGACGTATTTACTATACACAAAATTCTCAGGAGAATTAATGGGGTAGTTAAAGACAAATCTGTTTATTAACACGGATGGTACTCGCACAACAGGGACACAGGCAGAAGCTGAGTTTCCAAATTAGGCAGAGACAATTAAAAAATTATTTCTAGACTTGTTAAATTAAATGCAGTAGTAAGTGATGTGTGGAGGTAGACTCCATAAACAGTTCCCAATGTAGATGTGATAGAGACCAATAGGTTGAGGAACCTGTACACCAGTTCATTGACAGTTGTGAGGTAGGAGCAAAAAAGCCAGAGCCCAATCCCTGTGAGCACAATTAGATGAATACAGTTAAGTGAGTATTTACACTTCCTCAACTCACTGGTGTCAAGATCACTCAGCTGACGATTACTTCCGGTCTTCTCAAACAATTATTTCAGTTAATTAGTTCAAGATTTGTAATGACTGATACCTTGTGACATGGACGGTGGTATGCCATTGTTTGTTATTTATTAAAAGTAGTCTTTCATGTCATATGCTGGCAACAAGAGCATAATTTAACCATCAGAGCTTCTTAGTTTATTTTAAACAGAATATGTACAGAATATATCAAAACACTACTCAGTGAGGAAAATGGATGACACTAGTAGGCTTGACTGTATCAATGAGGTCCCCAAACACTCATTAAATCACATTTTCACACCGAGTCTCTTGGAAATGTTTACAGAGATGACGCTCCAGCTGCATGTGAGTTATTTGTAATACTCTCAATGTAACCTCAAGCAACGTCAGCTAATGTTTCCCCACGACTCAGCTACTGCTAATGTCTCAACACGGCGGAAGTCTCACAACCTTCTAAGACCATCTAACACTCACGGAGGCAGAGAAGAGACCCAAATAAACTCTCGAGTGGATTCATTCGTGAATTGCCGCTTCTTCTTCACTCCGAATCATGTCTTCTGTATGTCTCCTGCGCTCCTTGGTATATTGAGGTTCAAACTGAGTCTTTTTGTTTGAAACTTTCTCTGTGCCGCGTTCAACGGATCGGGATCTCGCGAAGCCAATATGACATAATTGCAAGTGTCTTTATTGCTTCCGACTGTGAGTATCAGTACAATTCTCGGTTCCTTTTTCCAAAATACAGCACACCAGGTGATTAAAGGCTATTTGGCATCACAGTCAATTTCTGTGAGCTCTCACAGTTGCCGCTCGCTTTACTGATATTTCGGCGGCATCATAATCACAGTACTCTGTTCAGGCATAACAATCACTTCAATAACACAGTAGAATATGTCAATAATTATTATCACCGTAACTCACTGGCGTTATTATATATTTGTATACAAAAAATTTGTATGCATTGTCACAATTATTCATACCAGTTACCAGTATCACCGCTTAGCACGGGTGATTTCTCCATTTCTACCGTTCATTTTATGACCCAAATAATTAACCAAAAATTTATATTCACTTCGTATACTGTTTATCGGACTTCGGAAACACCGCATTTCCTACGCATCGCAGACGAATTTCAAGGCAAATTGTGCAATCTTCGACAAGCCACCGGTTTTTTGTCCTCGACGAGGCCACTAGTGTTAGTGGCCCTCAGGTAAATCAGGCAAAATCAGGAGCCGACCAGAGTTGTGGTCGATTCTCAATCCCGAAGCTCAGCTTCCTAAAATGAAAGTACTTTAGTAACCATTTGGTCGAAAGTACCAAATATAGAATATAGAAAGTATATAGTTTGATGGACCGCCAGAAACTTTGCTTCTGTATTATTAAATTTAGGCCAACAGGAAGCGTTGTTAACAGAAAAACGGCCAGCCTATATATATATATATATATATATATATATATATATATATATATATATATATATATATATATATATATATATATATATGGACCAATATATTCAATATCCATTGTTTCGTGTTCTGTCTTGTGTTGATACTTTTAATATATCATCCTTCCCATTACTCAAATGTAATGCCACATCATACCTCACTAGAAATATATATATATAGTGCTATATATATATAATGCGAGAACGGGTTGTATAGTAATACAACCCGTTCTCGCATTTGCTTATAGTCAATATTGGCTTATTTAATAAGTGCATATGTGACATACTAATTGATTGTGAATATTTTAGTTTTCCTTGAAAAGCTTCATAGAAAACACCGACCTCACCTAACATTCTTAGTATTTTAGGATAAGCATCTTATTGCTTTTCAATTACAATTATTACTTAACCTATACCGTTGATAGGTTAAGTAATAATTGTAAATAAGAAGCAATAAGATGCGTATTTTAACATACTAACAAGGTTAGGCGAGGTCGGTGTTTTTTATGAAGCTTTTCAAGGAAAACTAAAATATTCACAATCAATTAGTATGTCACATATGCACGTATTAAATAAGCCAATTTTGACTGTAAGCAAGTGCGAAAACGGGTTGATATATATATATATATATATATATATATATATATATATATATATATATATATATATATATATATATATATATATATATATATATACATATATATATATACATATATATATATACATATATATATATATGTCGTACCTAGTAGCCAGAACTCACTTCTCAGCTTACTATTCAAGGCTCGATTTGCCTAATAAGCCAAGTTTTCCTGAATTAATATATTTACTATAATTTTTTCTTATGAAATGATAAAGCAACCCTTTTCTCTATGTATGAGGTCAATTTTTTTTTATTGGAGTTAAAATTAACGTAGATATATGACCGAACCTAACCAACCCTACCTAACCTAACCTAACCTATATTTATAGGTAAGGTTAGGTTAGGTAGCCAAAAAAGCTAGGTTAGGTTAGGTTAGGTAGGTTAGGTAGACGAAAAATCATTAATTCATGAAAACTTGGCTTATTAGGCAAATCGGGCCTTGAATAGTAGGCTGAGAAGTGCGTTCTGGCTATTAGGTACGACATATATATATATATATATATATATATATATATATATATATATATATATATATATATATATATATATATATATATATATATCTTTCCTCTGTTTTATGAGCCATCGAAAAGAAGTTCCTGTAAAAAAGTCTAATAGGGGATACAAGTGTTGTGTTACTTGACTCTTCAGAGGTTGCATGGTGTTTTACTTTTATTTTTATGACATCTTCAACAAAACGGTTAGAGAAGTCATTGTTGATTAGGATCTGTCTTACCCTACAGAGTTTTTCATCGACTTGCTTCCATCCTGAGCTGTAGCTGAGAGCCCAGTCAAAGTAAGCGTTGACAACACTCCTCTTGTACCTGTCTGGGCAGTCACTATTGGCATTGAGGCACATTCCTATATTGGTTTCCTTAGTGTAGACTGCAGTATGGAAGCCTTCGCTCTTTTCCGTGACTGTTACATCCAGAAAGGGCAGCTTCCCAACATTCTCCATCTCGTAAGTGAAGCTCAACACAGAATTCTGCTCAAATGACTCCATCAGCTGCTGCAGACATCTGGCATCAGGTTCCTGCGTAAAAATGTCGTAAACATACCTGCAGTATATAGGGGGTTTCAAGCCCATGTCAACTAAGACCCTCTGCTCGATGGTGCCCATGAAGAAGTTCGCAAACAGGACACCAAGGGGGGAACCCATGGCGACCCCATCTACTTGCTTATACATGTGCCCATCCGGGCTCAAGAAGGGTGCCTCTTTAGTGTAGGCTTGAAGTAGTTTTCTCAGTGTGTTTTCTGGCATGTCAAGAGGAGTGCTAGCTGGGTCATGATACACTTTGTCTGCTATCATCCCGATTGTTTCGTCCACCGGCACGTTGGTAAGTAGTGACTCTTCATCCAACGAGGCTCTAATCCCCGTGGCCTGTGCTCCCCGCAGTAGGTCAACAAATTCCTTGGGAGACTTCAGGCTGAAAGCACAAGGTATGTAAGGAGTCAGCAAGCTGTTGAGTCGTTTAGCCAGTCTGTACGTGGGTGTGGGTATCTGGCTGATGATTAGCCGAAGTGGGTTTCCAGGCTTGTGGGTCTTGACATTTTCCGTACGCATACCCAGGTTTGTATTCCTCAATAACCTTTGGCAGGTGGAGTCCGAATTTCCTGGCGTTCACAGTTTCGATCAATCTGTTTACCTTTGTTTTCAATTCGGCTGTAGTGTCCTTCGTTACCCTTTGGAATTTAGTTTGGTCAGAGAGTATGAGGTTCATTTTCGCCAGACATTCGTCTTTTTTGAGAAAAAGTTATTCTTTGCATGTGGGGCTGCTACTGCTGTGAGGCGAGCAATGTCGTGTTGTTGCAGCACCCAGGCACTCTGCAGCAACTTGGTCTACAATGGGGCCATCCCAGCTGGATTGCTTGTGGGCTTTTGAGGATGGTGGTTGAGGTGATGGGCCTGCACGAGAGGCCCACTCTGTGGCACAGCGTGTAAAATTGGGATCGTGTACACCTGCCAGCTGATGTAAGTAGGCAGGTAGAATTTCCTTCACAAGGTCGTCGGATGCCGATGAGGAGGACAGGACGTGTTAATAAATTGTCTTGTCTTTAACTACCCCATCAAATCTCCTAAGAATTTTGTATATGGTAATCATGTCTCCCCTAACTCTTCTGTCTTTTAGCGACATGAGGATTAATTCACGTAGCTTTTCCTCTAACTCATTCATCAAAGGTCTGGAACTAACTCGGTGGCATACCTTTGAACCTTCTCTGACTTTGTCTTGTGATTGACCAGATATCGACACCACGCTGGAGCCGTATACTCCAAGATTGGTCCGACATAAATGCTATACGAGGTTCTAAATGACTCCTTACACACTTACTTACATTGGTCAGAAGGGGGACTCAGAACATACTTAGCAGAATACATTGAAACTGTGTTGACTGAGTGGGCCATGCAGTCTCAGTTAATAGGGGCTGACACAGAGAAATGACTACACGTTTGAAGATTTTCAGAACTTTGTAGACAGACCAGAGCAAACCTCTTCACGAAACAATATAGCGAGTCACGAAGGAGTTTGCAAAATCATTAAAAACATTACACATTCATATGAATTAGTGAAACGGGTTTTATTTCTTGATTAAATTTTACTCCACGATATAAAATTAGTGATAAAAAATACGAAGACTGCATTCTATTTATTGTTATCTTTTCACATTAATAAAATAAATACAAATATATTTAGAAGTGTAGCAACCTTGGGGACACATTCTTATTTTACATGTTGAGCGATGTTCAGGAATCAATCACAGGCAAGAGCGCCATTCTCGACCACGGGGTGCCATAGTCGAGAAAGGGGTACCATGGGAGACTACGAGGTGCCACAGTCGCCACAAGAAGAACCACAGTTCCTTGGGGATGGAAGCCCCTTTGCAATCTCGTGAAGAAGCAAATAGTCTCATGCTTCTGAAACCTCTTGATGTGTCTTCGCCTTAGTGATAGCCGCCATAACTTGGTGGTGTGTAGGTGTCAAGTGGCAAACCATAAGCATTAGTTGGCACTGTGTAGATGTCCTGTGCAGGTGAGAAGGTGTCATGTGGCACTCCATAAGTATTTGTAGGGACACCGTAGATGTCTTGAGGTGGTGAGTAGGTGTCAACAGGAGCACCATAGGTTGGCTTGGGAGGAGAGTAGGTGTGAACAGGTGCACCATAGGTTGGCTTGGGAGGAGAGTAGGTGTGAACAGGTGCACCATAGGTTGGCTTGGGAGGAGAGTAGGTGTGAACAGGAGCACCATAGGTTGGCTTGGGAGGAGAGTAGGTGTCAACAGGAGCACCATAGGTTGCCTTGGGAGGAGAGTAGGTGTCAACAGGAGCACCATAGGTTGCCTTGGGAGGAGAGTAGGTGTCAACAGGAGCACCATAGGTTGGCCGTGGTGGTGTATAGCTACCATGAGACAACTGAGATGAGCCATGATCAAAGCCACTCAGAGAACCATGAGGTCTGGAGAGAGCGGAACCTTGCTGGACAGGTTTTGAGAAGCTATGAGGTGCAGAAAACGATTCATGAGGTCGAGTAAAGCCGGAGCCATGAGATGTAGCCCCTAAAGAGCCATGAGATGAGCCTCCGAAGGAGATGTGGGACGAGGAGCTGACTACAGCGCTACCCCGAGCCACCACCACAGCCACGACCACAGTAACCAGCAATTTCTGCAAAAGAGAATAATGATAAATTTCTACTTTGTATTTTCAATACCTAACAGTACACTTTCACAAAATGAAAATATAATTGTATGGTTAATCAACTTGTAGATGTGTTCATCAATCTTTTCTGTAGAGTTGTACTGAACAACTGGAATATTGATAATTACGACAATGAATCCAAAACGTTTATCAGAAAATCTTTGGAAATCGTGTTTATTCAAATATTTCTTCCCAATATTAATTTAGGGAAACTGGCCATTTCTTTCTGAGCTAAATGCGGAGAAACACAAACTCTACATCACTTCATGGCGATATAAGCAGGTGATCCCAGAGCACAACACCACCACCATATGAGGAGCGGTGTAGAGGATCAGGGGAGGAACCTACCATGTTAGGGGAGAGGAGATATAATCTGCCTCCCAGAACCCGTCGAGGCCTTTTATAGTCCAGAAGTGAGTTACTGTCGCCCTTGGAGAGCACTCAGGGCTAAACTGAGGGAGAAACGCCCATCATATGGTCTTCACGATATGGAAGGTCTGAAATAACGCCCTCTTTCAGATCTTTAGGTATTCATTTTTAGGTTCCTATACATAATATGTATTATGTATTTGTTGTAAACATAATATTCATTATGTATATCTCAAAAAACAATGAGTATAAAATATCTGACCAACATATATAACTGGAGACTAGATACTCATATCTTTCTTTAAAACTCTTACATATATTTTTATTTCCCTTGTCCTTCCAATTTTATCTCCTTAAATTACCCTAAAACTTTCTCATTAATATTTTAGCAGGGAAAAAATGACTAAATCGATGAAACATAAAGGTTAAGAATATTTAAACCTCTAATGTTTTTGTAAGTGCATGACAAACGTTGAATAAAATGGAAACGGATCAAAATTTTTGAAGTAGTCATAGTGGTGAATTTATGGTGCTAGAGACCAACAGTAGGACTAAAATAAGGCTAAAATAGGAGCTGTCAAAGCCACAAGCCACAAGCGGCCACACACACGTTGGGCCGTAACTGCTGTACGATTCTGCTTTGTAATTAATATTATCCATTTGAAACTATCATAATTTGAAGTGGGTAAATTAGGAGTCTGTAAAGTGAAGTTACTCTATTGGTCACTCAACCCGTTGAATAATATTGATAGAAAAGATATGTGAAGAAATCTACTGTGTGGTTCAGCTGCTGAAGAGGGTTGTTAAGCCAAGTGAAGTCATAAAAAGTGTTTATGATTGAATCATTCTAAGCTGTTAAAGTGACGCCTGGTCGAGGACCGGGCTGCGGGGACGATGAGCCCCGAAATCATCGCAAGGTCGATCTTAATACTGAACAAAGAAAATAGTCAAAATCAATCAAATTTATTACCAGTCGAAGCTATCACGTTAAGGCCACTCGAAACTACCAAAGGTCAAATTTTGTTGCTGTTAAAAAAAAGGAAAATACATAGATCTATTCACACCTAGGCTGAATACTCGTAAGCGAACCTTTCCAATATGTATCGTAGATTATGAATTAATACAATCACAGGTCAAAGTCAACGTAACGACCATCGCCTTGCCATCCGGCCTCGAGGGAGGAAATAATACAGTACCTCACAGCTGTATGACGGGCGATATAAGCATAGAAGGCAATGTAGAGTAATAATACATACTTGTAGAAGAATGAAAAGTGACTGATGTGACCTTGAGAACTTCTATGAGTTCTCATCGTATTTACTTTCTCGAGGGCGGAGAGACTCTGCCGGAAATACCAGTATTTTTGTCATTTTTCTCAATCAAGCATTTTATTTAAAGCAGCATCACAGACACTGTAAAAATAATATAGCCTTAATAAATAAGAATTAGTAAATTTCTTTGATTATATGTAAATAAAATAAAATCAATCCTAATGCATATCAGCTGCGTAAATGACGAAAAGAGAATATAATGTAGATAATTTATTATAATAAAAATATACCTTATAATATTTAGTCAGATATAAATAGACCCTTTCATGGACTGTAACTCCTTGAATAGTTTGTTGAGGTCACCCTTAGCCAAGGGCAAGATTGGTCTGTGTGGTCACCTATCCACTTACTTGATTTAGCGAAACGAGTTGAAATTTGTAAGGTTCTCCATGAGTATTTTCCTGAAATGATTTCAAAGAACAATTATTTATAATTACCAGAGCAGAACCCCTGTGTGTGCTCGACTCCATGGTGCATAAAGCAGCTTTATCCTTCCCACCAGGATCAGCAGGTGGGTTCACAGGACTAAGACCCAACCACATCAAACAAATGCTCAACCCTGCACTGGGAGACATTGCACAGGGCCTCCTGGTGGAATTAACTAGATTCGCCAACACATGTCTAGCTGGCAACATACCTGAGACCATACGGCCTCTCCTTTTTGGTGCTACCCTCTGTGCCCTGAGGAAAAAAGTTGGAGGAATCAGAGCGATAGCTGTGGGCAATTCACTCCTGCGTCTCGTCGCTAAGGCTGCTGCTAGAGCAGTTAGTCAGGCAGCAGCCGACATGCTGAAGCCAAAACAGCTTGGGTTTAGCATTCCCCAAGGGTGTGAGGCAGCGGCTCATGCAGCTAGAGCCTACATTGCCAACATTACGGATAAAAAAAACTGATAAAGCTGGACTTCAAAAATGCTTTCAATCTGGTTAGAAGGGATGCAGTACTCAGTGCGGTTCATCGCCCTTTTCCTTCCCTCTAGCCGTTTGTAAACTCATGCTACAGCAAGAATCTAACTCTGCTTTTTGGGGAACATGAAATTGAATCACAAGAAGGTGTCCAACAGGGTGACCCCCTAGCTCCTTTTCTTTTCTCCCTAGTCATCAAGGAAGTCAACGATAACAGGGTGACCCCCTAGCTCCTTTTCTTTTCTCCCTAGTCATCAAGGAAGTCAACGATAACCTGTCCAGTGAGCTCAATATTTGGTTTTTGGACGATGGTACTCTAGCCTGTACGACATAAGAATAATTCAGGAGCAAGCCTAGGCCTTACCCTGAACTCTTCCAAGTGCGAAATAACCTCCACCAACCAGCACATAATAGAGCAAATAAAGGTTGTTTTGCCTGACATTCATACAATCATCCCTGAGGACAGCACACTCCTAGGTGCTCCTCTTAGAAGGAATGCCATCGACGAGGTCCTTGGTAAGAATATCACTGACCTGAAGAGGATGAACGAGAGGATTGAAGACATCGATGCTCATGATGCACTTTACCTCATCACCAGATGCTTGTCCCTCCCCAAGCTGACCTACTTTCTAAGATGTTCGCCATCTTTCAACAATATTAAATTAAAAGAGTACGACAGCTTGCTGAAATCAACACTAGAAAAAGCCCTCAATCTTTCCCTCAGCGACTCACAGTGGAAACAGGCCTCCCTTCCTGTCAGACTCGGGGGCCTTGGCGTGCGCACAGCAACACAAATTGCTGTACCAGCGTTCCTGTCCTCTTCAGTGGGGTCTGACCACTTGGTGAAGGAAATCCTACCTGAGCACCTAGTTCAACAGGCAGGGGTACATGATCCCAGCTTCACTGACTGCACAACCAAATCAGTCTCTCTTGCAGGACCAGCACCCCAACCACTGCCTTCTGAAGCCCATAAGCAATCCAGCTGGGATCGCCCCATTGCCGACCATGAAGCTGCGATAACACCACATGACACTGCCCGACTTAGAGCTGTAGCAGCTCCCCATGCAGGTGATTTCCTATTAGCAACCCCAATGTCAGCAACCGGCACCCGTCTCACACTGCAGGCCCTCCGAATTGCTGTGGCTCTCCGCCTCGCTGCCCCAATCCACACGGAATACAGGTGTATTTGTGGCGAGGCAGAGGCCGACAGGTACGGATGGCATGGCCTTCTCTGCCAAAGGACAGGAGGATGGCATTTGGTATTTGCTGTTTGCTCGTCAGGTCGTTACGTTAACTTTGACCTGTTATTGTATTAATTCATAATCTACGATACATATTAGAAAGGTTTGTTTACGAGCATTCAGCCACAACCCGTCCTCGACTCAAGTCCTTTACATACAACGAGTCAACCCCACAGTCTGGATGTGTCACAACGGAAAGGTTGATGATATTCTTGAGAGATATAAGAATTTTGCACCAAGATTGTAATATTTTGTTGAATTATCTGCAGGTGTCTTGCAAATTGTCTATACAGTATACCTAGGTCATAAAAGTATTTGTGTGTACGTCTGATACCATACTACTTGTGAAGGAGGAAATGTATATGTTTACCTCTCAGAATGTTTGGTAATGTGTTTATTTGTGATGTGTGTCTATGTATATATTAACACGTTATACTGAATGGGGTGAGAATAGCTTGAGCTACCTCATCCCTTTGTGTGTATTGTACCTCAATAAACTTATTTCAATTTCAATTTCAACCCCACAGACGCATTCATAAATTTTAACATGCTGTTCATTCAAAACAGAAATTTTCTCAAATATAAATTAATATTATAATATATTACCATACTGTGCATATATAGGCATATATTAGGTTAGGTTAGGTGTTTAGGTTCTGTTGGCGATTATTTGTATTTGTATAACGTGGGTGAAGCATTTATTGCGTTGTGGTTCAAACAAAATTCGTCAATGAAGCACTTGTTTCGGAAGTGTTCGAATGAAATCAGTTGTGAGTCGTGTGTAAACCATTTTTCATTCATAAACAGGCGTTTGGTTTGTGCATGGAATCACTTTTGGGTCTTTGTTTGGAGGATGGGCTGTCAGCCAAGATGTGATTAATTCTATGTATTTTCCTTTTTTAACAGCAATAAGATTTGAAAGCACACTTTTCATTTTTTTTGTATTATTATATTTACATGCAAAGCATGCTAAGAAATACAATAAAACAAGGTCATGAGAATGAAACATACAACACTGGCCTGAAGGGCGCACAATAAGTACAACACACAGTACAACATACCACAGGCCACAACACACACCAAGCGCACAGACTACTCAAACTGCTCATACTTATCCGGCCACTCCACTGCTGGGAAGCGAACACAATATGCGTCCCAAAGCAACAAAATGTTATCTGGAACCGGTTTACTATAAACTGTACGAGGATCAGGCATTAACTCCAGCACATCCACAACAAAACACCGGGCCCGCGGAACCCAGACGGAAGAAGGGCTCCATGGAACAGGATGCATGCGGTCAACAATGTCAAACAGCAAGGGGGTTATTATCATCATATGCCATGCCAGAGGCAAAGACGAGAGGGAGGGGCTTCTTCCCATGAGGTCAGGCAATGGGCAGTGCACTGGGAGCCTCCTCGGCTGCCTCACAGGGCCCCGCGTCAACCACCGGACGTTGCACCTGCAGGGACCCCCCACGCCGGGCATCTCTCTTCAGCACCAGCACGAGGCCACGGTTCGCACCAGCACGCTTACCACCCATGTCCGTAGGTGCGACCAGCTCCCACTGCAGAGAATCTTCTGCAGAAATAAAAACAGGAGGTAAATCATATGCACAAACATCGTCATCAGCAGGCACATTGACGTCAGCAACCACCATCGACGTAGAGCGCGAAGCACCCGGAACCACCACGTCATCGCCCGAAGATCCACCTTTGTCAAAATCCCCACATCAGGCCAGGCAGAAGAAGAACGCTGGGAACGCTTGGGCTCCGGCCGCACATCCTCAGAGACAGAGGCGGACCCAAAACCACGTGCTTCACAAGCCATGCAAACCGATACCCGTCGCAGAACGGCAGCAGCCTCTACCACACGGGGAGAAGGGCCGCACACATGAGGATGCTCCGCAGCCCCACCAGCACCCAGCACAACCGTGACACCTGGCGAGGGCGCAGGGCCAGTCGCAGCAGCAGGAGACGAGGAAGATGAAGACATCGATGACTCGCAGAGACCATCTGGAACACCCACGGGAGCAGCTGGGACAGCGACGGGAGCAGGAAGATCTTTCGACGGCACTGTAACTCCCGGAGGAGGGGCCGCATCATCTAAAGCACCGCCGGGCGATGCAGGGGGAGACGCAGCAACCAACGGGATATCCACATTCTCGCCCACAGAATCCACCCCCCAGCCTGATGCCCCAACATGCCACACCGAAAACAGGTTCGGGGTTGCCGGGCATAGTATACCCGGAAATAGTACCCCAGAAGCTGGACTGAAGAAGTAATGTCCGACCTCAGGCACATCCCTAGGGTACGAATGTTCATACGCATACCCTTATACCTCCCAGAGGACAGCGTGTTCACCCACACACTGACGACAGCACCAAACCACTGGAAGTAACACCGGAGTAGGTCCTCGGGAAACTCCAAGGGCGCCCCATTCACACTCACATACGTCAGGGCACCACTACGATCCGTAATGGTCACAGAGCCGGCACTATCCGGCAGCGCCAAGGAACGCCCCTCATAACGACTGAGGAACTCACGGTACACCTCCACTCCACTAATTTGACAATAACCCGTTGAGCAGTTACCAGCTCAACACCATAGACGTCGTCCACCGGGACACGGAGCATGTCACACATGACAAGCTCAACTGCAGGGTAACAACCCCAGCCTGTAAACTCCAGGTCCACAGAGTTCACTCTCACAACAGGGGGAAGAAGGCCTCCCATCGCAAGAGTGCCACGTCAACACCAACCAAGAGGCAACTGCAAGGAGGGCAGGGACGCCCACACCACCAGCCTTTCGGCAAACAACCACCAACTATCGGAGAGGTCAGGCAACAAGTCCACACCCCACGGCAGCTAGGGCGCAGCTCCTTTCGAGTGGCCTTAATGTGATAGTTTTGACTGATAATAACTTCAGGGGATTTTAACTAATAACTCTGTTCAGCATTAAGTCTTCAATTATCAATGATCTGTGAGAAATTTAGATTCTATTTATTTGTGAAATTCATATTTGCCAAATATGAATTTTGGGTTTGACAGTCTCGAATAATTCAATCATAAACACTTTTCATGACTATTCACTTGGCATAACAACCATCTGCAGCAGCTGAACCACAGTAGATTTGATCACATATCTTTTCTATCAATATTATTCAACGGGTTGAGTGACCCTTTAGAGAAACTTTATAGAGTACACATTTACACAAAACAAATTATGATACTTTCAAATGGACAATATTAATTATAAAGCAGAATGGTACAGCAGTTACGGCCCAACGTGTGTGTGTGTGTTTGGCCGCTTGTGGCTTTGACAGCTCTAATTTTAGCTTTATTTTAGTCCTACTTTTGGTCTCTAGCACCATAAATTCACCACTATGACTACTTCAAGAATTTTGATGGGTTTCCATTTTATTCAACGTTTGTCATGCACTTACAAAAACATTAGAAGTTTAAATATTCTTAACCCTTATGTTTCATTGATTTAAAGTCAATTTTTCCCTGATAAAATATTAATCAGAAAGTTTTAGGGTAATTTAAGGAGTTAAAATTGGAAGAACAAGGGAAATAAAAATATATGTAAGAGTTTCAACGAAAGATACGAGTATTTAGTCTCCAGTTATAATTATTGACCAAACTTTTTATACTCATTGTTTATTCGAGATATACATAATGAATATTATGTTTACAACAAATACATAATACATATTGTGTATAGAAACCTAAAAATGAATACCTAAAGATCTAAAAGAGGGCGTTATTTCAGACCTTCCATATCGTGAAGACCATATGATGGGCGTTTCTCCTCAGTTTAGCCCTGAGTGCTCTCCAAGGGCGACAGTAGCTCACTTCTGGACTATAAAAGGCCTCGACGGGTTCTGGGAGGCAGATTATATCTCCTCTCCCCTAACATGGTAGGTTCCTCCCCTGATCCTCTACACCGCTCCTCATATGGTGGTAGTGTTGTGCTCTGGGATCACCTGCTTATATCGCCATGAAGTGATGTAGAGTTTGTGTTTCTCCAGCATTTAGCTCAGGTAGACATTGACAGTTCCCTAAATAAATATTGGGAAGAAATATTTGAAAAACTCAATTTCCAAAGGTTTTCTGATCAACGTGTTAAATTCACTTATGTAATTATCAATATTCCAATATTCCAGTTGTTCAGTACAACTCTATGTAAAAAGATTAATGAACACATCTACAGGTTGATTAACCATACAATTAAATTTTCATATTGTGAAAATGTTGTGTTAGGCATTGAATATGCAGAGTAGAAAATTATCATTATTCTCTTTTGCAGAAATTGCTGATTACTGTGGTCGTGGCTGTGGTGGTGGCTCGGGGTAGCGCTGTAGTCAGCTCCTCGTCCCACATCACCTTTGGAGGCTCATCTCATGGCTCTTTAGGGGCTACATCTCATGGCTCCGGCTTTACTCGACCTCATGAATCGTTTTCTGCACCTCATAGCTTCTCAAAACCTGTCCAGCATGGCTCCACTCTCTCCAGACCTCATGGCTCTCTGAGTGGTTTTGATCATGGTTCATCCCTGTTATCTCATGGTAGCTATACACCACCTCGGTCAACCTATGGTGCACCTGTTGACACCTACTCTCCTCCCAAGCCAACCTATGTTGCTCCTGTTGACACCTACTCTCCTCCCAAGCCAAGGTATGGTGCCCCTGTTCACACCTACTCTCCTCCCAAGCCAAGGTATGGTGCCCCTGTTCACACCTACTCTCCTCCCAAGCCAACCTATGGTGCCCCTGTTCACACCTACTCTCCTCCCAAGCCAACCTATAGTGCCCCTGTTGACACCTACTCACCACCTCAAGACATCTACAGTATCCCTACAAATGCTTATGGAGAGCCATATGAAACCTACTCGCCTACACAGGACATCTACACAGTGCCAACTAATGCTTATGGTTTGCCTCTTGACACCTACACACCACCAAGCTATGGAGGCTATCAATAAGGCGAAGACACATCAAGAGGTTTCAGAAACATGGGACTATTTGCTTCTTCACGAGATTGCAAAGGGGCTTCCATCTCGAGGAACGGTGGATCTTCTAGCGACTGTGGTACCTCATAGTCTCCCATGGCACCCCTTTCTCGACTATAGCACCCTGTGGTCGAGAATGGCGCTCTTGCCTGTGATTGATTCCTGAACATCACTCAACATGTAAAATAAGAATGTGTCCCCAATGTTGCTACACTTCTAAATATATCTGTATTTTTTGTACTTATATGAAAAAATTACAATTAGCAGAATGCAATCTCTTCGTCTTTTTTATCACTAATTTTATATCGTGAAAATAACTTAAACAAGAATTAAGAACAGTTTCACTAATTTATATGAATGTGTATGTTTTTAATTATTTTGCAAACTTCTTCGTGACTCGTAATATTGTTTCGTGAAGAGGTTTGCTCTGGTCTGTCTACAAAGTTCTCAAAATCTTCAAACGTGTAGTCATTTCTCTCTGTGTCAGCCACTATTAACTGAGACTGCATGGCCCACTCAGCTCACACAGTTTCAATGTACTCTGGTAAGTATGTTCTGAGTTCTCCTTCTGACCAATGTAAGTAAGTGTGTAAGGAGTCATTTAGAACCTCGTATAGCATATGTCAGACCAATCTTGGAGTATACGACTGCAACGTGGAGTCTATATCTAGCCAATCACAAGTCAAAGTCAGAGAAGGTTCAAAGGTATGCCACCGAGTTAGTTCCAGAACCTATGAGGAATGAGTTACCAGGAAAAAGCTACGTGAATTAAGCCTAATGTCGCTAGAAGACAGAAGAGTTAAGGGAGACGTGATTACCATACACAAAATTCTCAGGAGAATTGATGCAGTAGTTAAGACAAGACTGTTTATTAACACGGATGGTACTTGCAAAACAGGGACACAGGCAGAAGCTGAGTTTCCAAATTAGGCAGAGACAATTAAAACATTATTTCTAGACTTGTTAAATTAAATGCAGTAGTAAGTGATGTGTGGAGGTAGACTCCATAAACAGTTCCAAATGTAGATGTGATAGAGACCAATAGGTTGAGGAACCTGTACACCAGTTGATTGACAGTTGTGAGGTAGGAGCAAAAAAGCCAGAGCCCAATCCTTGCGAGCACAATTAGATGAATACAGTTAGGTGAGTATTTACACTTCCTCAACTCACTAGTGTCAAGATCACTCAGCTGACGATTACTTCCGGTTTACTCAAAAAACTATTTCAGTTAATTAGTTCAAGATTTGTAATGACTGATACCTTGTGACATGGACGGTGGTGTGCCATTGTTTGTTATTTATTAAAAGTAGTCTTTCATGTCATATGCTGGCAACAAGAGCATAATTTAACCATCAGAGCTTCTTAGTTTATTTTAAACAGAATATGTACAGAATATATCAAAACACTACTCAGTGAGGAAAATGGATGACACTAGTAGGCTTGACTGTATCAATGAGGTCCGCAAACACTCATTAAACCACATTTTCACACCGAGTCTCTTGAAAATAATGTTTACAGAGATGACGCTCCAGCTGCATGCGAGTTATTTGTAATACTCTCAGAGTAACGTCAAGCAACGTCAGCTAATGTTTCCCAACGACTCAGCTACCGCTAATGTCTCAACACGGCGGAGGTCTCACAACCAACTGAGACTATCTAACACTAACGAGGCAGAGAAGAGACCCACATGATCTCTCGAGTGAATTCTCTCGTGAATTGCCGCTTCTTCCTCACTCTGACTCATACATATCTCCTGTGATCCTGTGAGTGTCGAGTCCCACCTTTCCTTAGTATATTGAGGTTCAAATTGAGTCTTTTTGTTTGAAAATTTCTCTGTGCCGCGTTCAACGGATCGGGATCTCGCGAAGCCAATATGACATAATTGCAAGTGTCTTTATTGCTTGCGACTGTGAGTATCAGTACAATTCTCGGTTCTTATTGCCATAATACAGAACATCAGATGATTGATAGGCTGTTTAGACTCACAGTCAATTACTGTGAGCTCTCACAGTTGCCGCTCACTTTACAGACATTTCGGTGGCATCATAATCACAGTACCCCCTTCACCACAACGATCACTTCAATAACACAGTAGAGTATGTTAATTATTATCACCGTAACTCACTGGCGTCATTATATACTTATATACCCAAAAATTATAAATTCATTGTCACAGTTATTCATACCAGTCACCAGTATCACCGCTCAGAACGGGTATTTCTACCGTTCCCTTCATGACCCAACTTAATTAACCAAAAATTTATATTAATTTCGAATACTGTTTATAGGACTTCGGAAACACCGGATTACCTAAGCATCACAGACGAATTTCAAAGCAAATAGGGTAATCTTCGACAAGCCGCAGGCTTTCTGTCCTTGTCGAGGCCACTAGTGTTAGTGGCCCTCAGGTAAAATCAAGAGCCAACCCGTGTTTAGGTCGAGTCTAAATCCCGAAGCTCAGCCTCCTAAAATGAATGTACTTATAGGAACTATTTGGTTGAAAGTACCAATATATAGATTGGTGGACCGCCAGAAACTTTGCTTTCGTATTATTAAACTAGCTGTACCCGGTCACGCGTTGCTGTGGCTCAGTTGTTCCTGTGGCTCAGGAGCCACAGCTACTTTCCCCCTGTTCCCCAGTCCTCCCAACCATTCCCCACTCCACCATCCTCTCATCCTCCCCACCATCCCCAATTCCCCCATCCCCTCGTCCTCCCCACCATTCCCCACTCCCTCGTCCGATGCGTTCCCAAATGATCTTATGTTCCCATCAGAAAATTGGGATCATCAAATGATCTGATGTTTCCATCACTGAAAAATAACAGTTAAGAAATTTAAATGAAAAACAATGAAAAAATAAAAAAAATAAACAATACCCATGAAATGAACGGCATGGTAAACAACACAGCACAATTCCAAGCCAATGTCACACAAAATAATTAAATAAAAATAAAAATAAATCGAAACTTATGAAAATTCTATTTATTAGTGCAATTGGAAACATTGAAATGGAATCATAACATATTTAGTATAATGTGTGTTGCTCTTGCGTACAACAGATGGTGCTGTTATAAACTTTTTTTATGTATGGTTTTAACTGTCACAGGTGTGGCATCTATATTTATACTCACGAAATACATGGCATGGTAAACAACACAGCCGAATTGCAATGCAGTGTCACACAAAATAATTATATCAAAATGAAAATAAATCGAAATCTATGAAAATTCAATTCATCAATATAACTGGAAACATTGAAATGTAATCATAACATATTTAGCATAGCGTGTGTTGCTCTTACGTGCAACAGATGGCGCTGTTTTTCAAACAAACATGTTTTTACCTGTCACAGGTGTGGCATCTATATTGTAGGTATATGAAAACATATGCGTATTTGAATGGAACGTTGTGTCAAAATTTCAAAGCAATCGGTGAAGAACTTTCGGAGATCAGCGATTTTGAACAAACGAACATTTCCATTTTTATTTATATAGATTTGGGCAAACAGGAAGTCTTGTTAACAGAAACATAAAAATAAGGCCTAACCTAACCTCTCCTAGACCTGATACATGCTATCCTATATATAATATAGATATATATATATATATATATATATATATATATATATATATATATATATATATATATATATATATATATATATATATATATATATATATATATATATATATATATATATATATATATATATATATATATATATATATTAGTATATTTTGGTAGCAGTCTTTCCTGTAGACATATATAATTAAATATGACCGAAAAAGTAAGATTAATAATTGTAACACGAATTTTCTCAATCTTTCGTACATTTCTTTTCACTGTTGGAGGTAATTCAAAAATCAATTCTCCAAAATTCATTTTTATTTCTAGTCTGACGCGACACTTGAGCGCGTTTCGTAAAACTTATTACATTTTCAAAGACTTTAGTTTACACATACACAACTGAATAGAACTTACACATCTCCGATTTTGTTTATATCTACATTTGAGTGAGGTGGATGGGGTGAGGTGGTATTTAATAAGGTATTAATTTCATCAACACAAGCCAGAACATGAAACAATGGGTATTGAAAAGAAGTGATTGTAGAAAGCCTATTGGTCCATATTTCTTGATGCTTCTATATTGGAGCGGAGTCTTGAGGTGGGTAGAATATAGTTGTGCATTAATTGGCTGTTGATTGGTGGTGTTGACTTCTTGATGTGTAATGCCTCGGAAACGTCAAGCCGCCTGCTATCGCTGTATCTATCGATGATTTCTGTGTTGTTTACTAGGATTTCTCTGGCGATGGTTTGGTTGTGGGAAGAGATTATATGTTCCTTAATGGAGCCCTGTTGCTTATGCATCGTTAAACGCCTAGAAAGAGATGTTGTTGTCTTGCCTATATACTGGGTTTTTTGGAGCTTACAGTCCCCAAGAGGGCATTTGAAGGCATAGACGACGTTAGTCTCTTTTAAAGCGTTCTGTTTTGTGTCTGGAGAGTTTCTCATGAGTAGGCTGGCCGTTTTTCTGGTTTTATAGTAAATCGTCAGTTGTATCCTCTGATTTTTGTCTGTAGGGATAACGTTTCTATTAACAATATCTTTCAGGACCCTTTCCTCCGTTTTATGAGCTGTGGAAAAGAAGTTCCTGTAAAATAGTCTGATAGGGGGTATAGGTGTTGTGTTAGTTGTCTCTTCAGAGGTTGCATGGCGTTTCACTTTCCTTCTTATGATGTCTTCGACGAAACCATTGGAGAAGCCGTTGTTGACTAGGACCTGCCTTACCCTACAGAGTTCTTCGTCGACTTGCTTCCATTCTGAGCTGTGGCTGAGAGCACGGTCGACATATGCGTTAACAACACTCCTCTTGTACCTGTCTGGGCAGTCGCTGTTGGCATTTAGGCACATTCCTATGTTCGTTTCCTTAGTGTAGACTGCAGTGTGGAAACCTCCGCTCTTTTCCATGACTGTTACATCTAGAAAGGGCAGCATCCCATCCTTTTCCATCTCGTAAGTGAAACGCAGCACGGAACTCTGCTCAAATGTCTCCTTCAGCTCCTGCAGATGTCTGACATCAGGTACCTGTGTAAAAATGTCGTCAACATACCTGCAGTATACGGCCGGTTTCAAGTTCATGTCGACTAAGACTTTTTGCTCGATGGTACCCATGTAGAAGTTTGCAAACAGGACACCTAGGGGAGAACCCATGGCGACCCCATCTACTTGCTTATACATGTGCCCATCCGGGCTCAAGAAGGGTGCCTCTTTAGT